CTCCCATTGTCACACTGTTCACACTTGCGGTGCCAAGAGCAGCATCCCAAAAGGCAGGGTCATCCTGTCATCTCTGTTCCCTCAGTTCATGAAAGCACCAATGTATTTACTGAACTCTGTATCTCCATACACTTTATATCATATGACTTAGGACAGTGAAACGTCAGGGTGGACTTTTTGAAGTGGAACGGCATCCTGCTGCAGCAAGTGTCTCTGAGGAGCAGAGGACTTGCCACATAAACAAATTCTTCACAGTGTAAATTCAGCTCATTTCCTTACAAGTATTCATTTTAATCGACGGACGGCATGTTACCTTTCCGTTACTCATACTGAGCTCAGTTTCATTGAGTACCTTCTGTAATTCTACACATAGCATTGTTACATGTCGTGACATTATGCTTGAACAGGCCGAAGCTGGATGACAAGGCTACTCACTCTCGGCAGAGTGAACACGCCCAAACCTAATACCCAACTCTGTCTGCAGCTGTAGCCCATTTGCAATTCGTGACCTGATGCCAGATTCAGAAACCTGTTTCTCCTCAAAACAGCTGTCTCTCCCCTTTATCCCACCCCTCATGTTCACTCCCAACCCATCAGGCGCCCGTGTTAAATGCCCCTCCTGGACCCAGTGTAACTCAGTATACCCCTAAGAGGGTGTGAAGGGACAGTCAATGTTTTAAATGCTTTAGAGGAAGAGGAGCAGAGACGCATCCTTCTTCAAACTGGGCATTAATGTGGAAAGAGCATATGGCCCCAGATCCATTCTGACGCGCCACGTCCAAACATGCTGCTCAATGGCACTCCGCTTTGAAGAAGTTTGAGGACAACGCTGACATTCTCTCTCAGCAGATCCACAGAGGGGGATTCGTGTGGGTCACCTCAGTGCAGGCGATGCTCCCAGTGAAACATCTTAAGGTTGTCCCTGGCACAGCACCCAGCAGCTTCAGATGAAGGGAAAACAACTGTTTCTGAGCAGAGGCTTATGGGGATTTCAAAGGGATGGAACTGGTTCAGAGCCATCAGGGCAGATCAGCTGCCCGAGGCAAACAGCCTCCAGTCTCAAGAGGGGTCCAGCAGCTTCATCTCTCTCACAGGCCCAGGGATGGGAGCACAACAAAAAACTACCAAAAAAAAATTAAATATGTTCGATTATATGAAAGAATAAAAAATGACCCTCACACAACACAGATTAAACAAAGAAAGCAGACAAGGAAGATTACGGGGTCACACAAGAAGCGAGCATGACTGTTATCTTCACAAGCGCAGATTAAACCATCAATAGCTTTTATACTGAACAGTCTACTCTCTGTAGTTTTGTAGGTATTTAATATATATTCCTCATTGACTACTGTTTTTATTAAAAGATGTTCTACACTAGTCATCATCCTGCATTCAGTCTACACCTTTCAGCTCTTGAGAGTATAATTAGGAGGCATGTTTACAAACCCATCTAGTGCAACCAACTTATTAAGGAAATAGTGTCTTTCTGCTCCAGCTGTTCACAGCAGCCGATCTGTAATCCATCTCTGGCAACATGACATCCAGATCATAAGAAGGAGATAATCACCCTCACCCTTAAGCCTGGATGTGGTCCCCATAGGTAGTTGGGTTCTCGCCTTCATTCAAGTCGCTAACCTATGACCATAGTGAAGCAGACGCATTCATGTACCACAATGGATAGCATATTTACGCAAAGTGGAACAAACACGTGTAAAAATCAAAATGACTTTAAGTCAGGTACATAGCACACATCTGCCTCCAGAACAACTGCAGTGACCCTTTGGCGGTGATGTGGGACTGCCTCATTTTTATCTGCTTTGGATTTGGATTCATGTACTTTTGGCTAAAAGCGGCCCTGCCTCACAAGTGGCATCCTTTTGTGTAAGTTATTATTGAATCATTCACTGAAGTGCTATAGCTGAGCTGACCGTAGCAAAAAATTGGATGAAACAACAATGAAGCCCCCTGAGTGGTGCTGTTCACCACCTTCTGCACTTACACGTGTGGTGGCGTCACACAGCAGATTTTCCTTTCTCCATGTCTCATGTCAAGCCTGTAGACTTTGAATCCCAATCCCTTTTGGCATGAATGGAAGGCGGCAGGAGAGCACGTCAGATTCCACGGCTCGCTTTAATACATGGTGTGGAACCAGGACGGCAGCCAGTAAGATGCAATCTAAATGTTCTGAACGAGTTACATTCATCCAAGAATGGCTCTACAGAGGCGGGCTTCTTCGCTCTCTGTCGCTCCACTGCAGTCTCTGATTACTACACTGATGGTCCTCACTGCCACAACTCCGGCTCCTGCTGAAGACAATGGCCAGCTTGACACATGCTGCCACTCCTCTTTGCTCAGAGGTAATCTATGGCTGTAACTGCCTCTTTTTTTAGTTTTTAAATATAATAGACTCCCTTGCATTGAGAAACCAGAGATGCAGATTCTGACACACTCGCGTCTGGGCCCAGGTGGGAGGGCAGCAGTTAACATGGGCTGGCAGCAGCACAGAGCTCAGCCGTCACCATCTCAGCAAGCTCAGAATTGAGATCCATCTTCCTCACTGTGAATTTCCCAGCCAGGGAGTCTGCAGGCTCCTGCTGCCTCCAGGGGGAAAAGCCTCGCTGTTCACAGTAAACAGCCGCTAGAGATTTGCATTTCAACATTCCTCCATTTACTTATTACAAACAGAGAATGTGTCTTCTCAAAAAGTATTTGCTTTCTCATAAGAGAAGTTCTCTGCTTACAGTCCCCTTTATTCAGTATGATGTGGTCTGCAGATCAACACTGAGAACCAACCAAAGGAAAAAAAATATTTTAGAAATCCGCCACGTTGCAATCATGTTGAATGCGGCCATAAAAACTAAATTGCTCCTCCATGTGCTATTAATATAACATATACAGAAATAGATTAATAAAATTCAATTAGTTTATTTAATGAAAAGGCTACCCACTTTCCACTATAAAAATCTCAGGCCAGGTTTTATCATCAAAATGGTCCCCGATGAGTCACCGCTTGAATAGCTGCAAGGTGCTTTTAACAAGGTGCCTCCAAGAGATAAAAGACCCATCCCCCAAAAACTCTGTAGATATGATGGATGTAGACGAGTCGACTGTACAAGGATAACAAAGGCAGCCCCTCCTCCTCACCCAAAAGCGACCGGCCCCAAGCAGCTGTAGGTGGCAACCTTTACCAGTCACCCAAGCCCTGAAGCTACAGTAGCTAGCACTAAGCTCCCAATATGTCGACCTGGAGACAAAACAAGCATGAGCCACTGGGCACAGGCTCAGTGCCGGGGCCCTGCTGACTACAGATCACAGCAATATGGTGATTCATTCATTTACTTTGTCAGTACTGTGATATCACTCTAAGGCTTCCCAATTATAAAAGCCCGCTGTCAGATATCACTGGCCTTCACAAATATCATCTTTCAAGCCTTTGACCTACACTGGACAGATGTTTCCTGCCAAACATTGGCAAGATTACTAAATGCAGGCCTCAATGCTCCTACAAGTGGCTCCCATATTAGAGGGAAGGCCCAAGCACAGGAGATCACCAAGGGAATGCCACAGGACCAGCAGCTTGTAAAGCACAGGAGACCCCAAAACGCACGTCCAACACGTTTGCTAGAGTTCCTAAAGCTCCTCTTGTTGACGGGGACTATGGCTCAGTGCAAGGTCCTTCGGATCCCTTGCCGACAAAGTAGTGCCGATTACCTCAGCTTCCATGGCTATGGCATTTTTTTCTATAGCTTGATGTCCAGGGTAAAGCAGGGGAATGATGGAGGAAAGCTACACTTCGGCAGCGCCAGACAGGGATGTGACCCCCTTGAGGGTTGAGATGGCTGAACGGTACCTCAGACAGCTCCCCTGAGCCGCCTCTCCTGTAATCGGCCCTGTCAAAATGCCTGATCATTTAATAGGCTGATAGTGGAGGAAGGCAAAGAGGCGGCATATTCGACTCCAGTAACAGTTTCCCTTGGATCCTTGCAGCTGTAATAGGCTCTTGTGGACCACTTGGCATACAGGGCTTTTATCCCCAGAACCCTTCCTGTCCACTTACTCTGGAAATCAAACTTCACGGTGGCCATCAATAGAACCCCTGTGTTTAACCACCAAGCTTTAGAAATATACTTCAGCAGAAAGGAGCCAGAGGTCATTCTGATTTTTAAGAGCACCCACCTTTCTAAAACTTTCAAAATCCCTGTGAAAAACAAAGCTATGTCTTATAGATGGAACTGAAAAGACAAAAACCCAGTCGGATTGTTTTACAAACCTGGCTAACCCGATGTTACTGAAGAAAACAGACTCACAACTAAGAACTAACAAAGCCACGCTCTGGAGTCCCACATGACTCTGGCAGGTCTATGGGTGACCATGTAAACTGAGATGATCGATAGGGAAGACGCCTTGCTCTGTAGCACACTCACGCACGTGACCACGACACACGCTAGGGCACCAAAGGATTAACATTGAAGTCACATTTTGGAAACAACGCCAACAGGGCATGTAACACAAGGGCTAAAAGTTTTACCAATGAATATTGAACCCTACATGCATTATATTGTATACGTACTAGGGCTGTCACAGTATCAGATTTTGACTACCCAATTATCGTGGGCAAAAAAATTCATAACGATATTACCACAATATCTAGCTGATAATTTGAACAAAATATTTATAATACTGCTTCGAGCTGTAACGAATACAGAGGGTAACGAATATGAATACACATCACGATACTTGGAAGCGAATATGAATATTTATTCATGAATATGAATATAAGTTGTGTTAAAAAAAATAACCTCACAAACTAAACAAACATTTAAAAAATGTAAGTTATGGCAACCTGACATGACAAAAATTGTCATAATAAGAAATAGCAAATCATAAAATCTCTTAGAAACTAAGATTTTTTTCAGATATTTACATCGTTTGATGATTTTCAAATGACTTTGACAAAAACCCTTTTTGAGCTCCAAAATATCGTTATATTACCCTATTTCTATTTGAAGTACTTAGAACATTTTCTTTTAATACTTTTATCAATCCTTAAGTTCAGCCATGCCAAACTAACTGACAAAGAATTATCATTAATGTCACAGAAATACAAACTCTTAAAAATGGTAGAAAATAAGCTAAAAAACATGCTGCATAAAGGATGACTATCTTGTTAACACTGACTAGGAAGAACCTTTATCATTCATTTGGACAACACTTCAATATTCACTTATGGTACTGCAATGTTCTTTTTAAGTTTTTGCGACCTGTAAATGCTTACATTACCTCATCTCATGGCTGAATATTTTGCATTTTGTCACATTTTCATTTATGATAAATTTATTGCCTTCCTTTTTTTCTTGGAAACCCAAAATGGTTCCACACCGGCGACTTAAACTTCGCTGGAGTGTTGACTATGCTGTCCTACTCAGCTGACATTTTCTGCATAATTGCAGTAGATCGAATGGCGTCAAGTCGTAAAACAATCTGCATGCAAATTTCATTTTTTAAAACACTTTAAATGTCGAAAACAACGAATATCTGCAATGTTTTAAATACAGTGTGTCTTCACTGTTGACAGATACTTATTTTACGATCTCATTTTTATATTTATGTGCATGTCGTGATGTTTGACGTAAAGAGCCTTACATCAGAACACGTGACTGCTGTAAACATTACAAAAGACCGTCGATTGCATTTTTGTTTTTTGTTCTTTTGCTAAACAGACAAGAATGAATTCTGATTTTACGAATATTCGAATATTTACCATGTGAATAATGAATATGTATTTGACAACAGGCATTATTCGGTGCACCGAATATTCGAGCGTATCGTAATAAGTGGGCTAAGTGTCTATGCTTCTGATCAGAAGGTCATGGGTTCAAGACCAGCCTTGACCTGCCTGTCCTTTATTTTGATTTCGCCTGCATGTCCTTTCCTCACCATTAGTTATGCACCGGTGCCGTTTCAGCTAAAGTAGGAGACCGAGTTGTTGAATGTCTGTACTGGCTTGTTTGGCTTAGTGGGCTAAGTGTCTGTGTTTGTGATCAGATGGTTATGGGTTCAAGGCCTGCCTGTCCTTTATTTTGATTTCGCATGGATGTCCTATCCTCACCATTAGTTATGCACCGGTGCCGTTTCAGCAAAAGTAGGAGACCGAGTTGATAAGTGTCTTTACTGGCTTGTGTGGCTTAGTGGGCTAAGTGTCTGTGTTTGTGATCAGATGGTCATGGGTTCAAGCTCAGCCTTGGCCTGCCTGTCCTTTATTTTGATTTTGCCTGGATGTTCATTCCTCACCATTAGTTAGGCACTGGTGCTGTTTCAGGTAAAGTAGGAGACCGAGTTGTTGAGTTTTTGTACTGGTCTGTGTGGCTTAGTTGGCTAAGTGTCTGTGCTTGTGATCAGAAGGTCATGGGTTCAAGCCCAGCCTTGGCCTGCCTGTTG